ATTTTAAATTGTAATAATATTCCACAATATTGCTGGATTTTTTATCAAATAAGGGCAGCCTTTGTGAGCATAAGAGACTTTTTCCTTTAAAAACATTTTTGAAAATTTGACTGAACTCAAATTGTGAACAGAGATAGATAGATAGATAGATAGATAGATAGATAGACAGACAACACTTCATTGCCCAGATTGCTTTACTTGTGTTCAATTTTATTGAAATACAATTCATTTAATTCATATTCCTGTCATTCCAGTTCAAATTCACAGCTTCCTGTGGTCTGAGGCCAATTTAATTCAAATTCACATTCATGATTTAAAACGGAGCTAATTCTTTAGCTGTGAATTTTTCACAACCCATCATGCGATTAGATCTTTGTCATAAAACACAGTGCCACCTGAAACATAAACAACTGATCTTGTTACTGTAAATCCACATAATGAAAAATGTGCTACTGCATTCTTGCCTAATTGACATCCAGTTAAGATGACAGATGGGCTGTGATTTATTTATAAGTATTTACCGCACTAAGAGGCGCGATTTTGCGGCATAATTACACGGGCACTAATAAACTGATATGAACTGCTGAATAATGAGTCGGAAGGCCCCGAGCTCCTCTGCCGCACTATCACCGCGGTGCATTTAGATAAGACCACACCGAGCTGATGACCCAAATCTAAACTCAGCACAAGAGCCTGTTCTCTGGCATCCTGCTCCGCTCGGAGGACAGAAGTGGTTAAATGCAGGCTCTTATGTGTTTTAATCTCCCAATTGTGTTGAGTTAATTCACAGCCAGCCCTGGGGAAAAGCTTGTGTCTGCACAAAGACAATTGGCCGCTTTTCAAAATCTGTGTTGTGCCTTACATGTGTCTGAGAGATGCGACTCAGAAAGACGAAGTGTATGTGTGCAAGAGAGAGAGACTGCAAGAAAAAGAGAATGCTTTTGTTAAAAATAAAGAGGGCACAATAGGGACAAAGAGGCAGAAAGCCTGTATACAGTGATGCTTACGTGATCAGTCACCCCCCTAAAGCAGTCGCCATCTCAGGCCAGTCAATATTCACCCGCTCTCCTACTATTTCATACTTCACTCACACGGTAATGACATGATTATATTCCAAGGTCCCCATCATGCCGTCCTTCTGTTAGTGTGGCTATTCCTGAAACCACACATTATGGAGAGAAACAGATAGAGGGAGAGAGTGAGACAGATAGTCTATGTCCCATGTCCTTGTCACTCTGCATTAATATGTCTCCCATGCAGCAGTGCTCTCTGGGCTCGAAGAGGCTTCAAGGTCTCCATGTCCACACGTTCCAGGTTTTAAACCCCTGCAATCGTTTAACACAAGTTACGGTGACAATGCAGCTGTTCTGACACACTCCACAACAGACTATCATTAGCTTCGCCAGCCTCAGAAAACTCACACACACACACTCGCATGCTCTGCTTAACCATATCCACAAAATCCTCAACCATTTGCATGTTTTACTTTGATGGAGCCTCTCATGCATAATGGCACTCCAAGTTCAAAGTAGTGCGCGAGAAGCGAAAGAATGCAAGAAACAGCTTTATGCGGGAGTAAAGGAAACTTCTACAATAATAATAATTGCAAATCATTCAATGATGCCACAGCTCAATACAGATGAGGCAGGTCGGTCAGGGAACAACGCCAGTCTAGACACTTTTCCTAAGTGGGTAAGGTGCTGTTTGCACAGTGGCCAATGCCAAGGCACAGTTTGGAGAGGTTGGGTTTGTCCTTTGTAATTTTAAGGCACTTGTTGGAATGCTCAAGAGCTCACAGGCGTTTTCAAAAATGAGACAGGAATGTCAAATGAAAAGCATTCACTTTTTGTGCTTTGTAAAGGCATGTTTAAAGGAGTAGTTCACTTCTAGAATGAATATTCTGTCATTATTTACTCACCCTCCACTTGTTCCAAACCTGTATGAGTTTCTTTCTTCTGTTGAACTCAAAAGAAGATATTTTGGAAATATGTTAGTATCCGAACAGTTGATGGGCACCATTGACTTCCATAGTAGGAAAAAAAAATACTATGGAAGTCAACGTTGCCCATCAACTGTTCAGATACCAACATAGAGCATCTATCTAACAATTTTCATTATTTTACAAAAATTATCACTTTAATTATTTTTATTTAATTATTATTCATTCATAATTGTCAGTACATTTTTGGGGAGTCACACTACATCTTATTATTGTTTTATTTTTATTTTTTTTACTATTTTATATTCAGGTATTTTACCTTATTTTATTTTTTAATGTTTACATTTTTATTATTTTACAATCATTTTTAGCATTTTCAATATTTTACAACAATTATCATTGTTATTATATAGTTATTTTATTAACTGAATTTAATTCAAGGTTGTAACAAGTTATGTATGTGACTCCCCAAAAATGTACAGACATTTATAATTAATAATAATTTAAATAATAAAAATGCTTGTAAGATAATAAAAAATTAAAATATTAATTAATAAATAAAAAAGTATTTTTTCAAGTATTTTTCTTTTTTATTTATGAATTAGTTTTTTTATTTTTACAATTTTTATTATCTTACAAGCATTTTAATTATTTTAATTATCATTAAGCATAAATGTCGGTACATTTTTGGGGAGTCACACTACATAACTTCACCTTGCCATAAAATGGTCAAATTTACTGACCTTGACACACAGTCCTGTCTATAATAATTTCCTGTTTTATGTTTTTTTCTGCATGTTGGTCACACCACATGACTTTGATTCAACAGACAAAATTTTTTTGTTTGTTTGTTTGTTTTTTTTGTTTTTTAATTAAGAACCAGTGAAGCATTTTTATTAAAATCTTGTCTGAACAGACAACTGAGGTCCAGGCTTTGTGCTGAGGGTAATACATGGGGGAATTACCACAGATACCATTAATGATACTAGCTGTTGTTTGAGTATTTGGCTCATTACACAAAGCTTGCAAATATAAAGTCATCTGTTAAACATTAATGCATTTAAAGATGATACATGCCTAATATGACTTTAGGACGAAATAACAGCAAAAAAGAAAACATTGGAAATGTTTAACTTATAAAACAGCCCACAGCATTAGCTAATGTATAGTCAAGTGCATGAATCCATACGCGTTGGCATTTAAAAATTCATTTGAAGCATAGATCATTATACATTTTACCTTTTTGTAATTAAATTCTGTGGTAAAATTATATGGTAAACAATCTGTGCTCAGTGTCTAACTTAAGCCCCAGAACATTTATTTTCCCTAGTGACACATTCATACTTACAATATTTAATGACAACAGAAATTAACACTGGTCCTCAATTAAACACTGCTAAAGCTAACGTCAGTCAATTACTCACAACTGTGCTATGGGTTACCTTAAATTTACCTTACCTTAAATTTAACTCAGTGTCCACATACGTGTTCTTCTATACTGAATAGTATGCAAAAAGCAGTATGTCAATTGAGTAGGATACCTGAATACATCGTACCCAATAAATAGCATGCAAACAAAACCCAGATGACCTACTGTATCCGCTGAGATACTGAAGTGTGTAAACAATGGACATTTTGCTGTCCCATGAGGCCATGAGAGCTGAGGATCCGTAAGATTTGAAACCAGGTGGCTCATTTCAAGAGGAAGTGCTAGCATGAATGATATTCCTGGTTAGATTTTTTTAAACACACACACACACACACACACACACACACACAGACAGGTTTGTTTTTGTGAAAAACAGGAAACTTTGTGCTATTTCAGATGTTCAATACACTCCATTCTGTGTGATATGTATGCGTTTTGAAAAGTGGGGACATGGGGTAATGTCCTGAAAAGTCACCTTCTCCTTATAATACCTATGTCATACCCTTGTCATTATACAAATGTATGTCATCATTTGTCACAAAAACGCGCACGCACACACACACACACACACACACACATGTACGCGCACATTAAAAAACAAAACAAAAATACACCAGAGTACATTTGTGGTTGTTGTTAGTACTGCCTCATAGGTCGAAGATCATACAGGTCATAGAACAATACCAAAAGGCAGATGTTGTATGTCCAGGAAGGTATTTATACTACACGCCTGCATGCCTAAAGAAAGTACTTCATCAACTGTCGAGAAGCAAGTCCTTTACTGAATTCAGTACATTATGAAAGTACAGAAATATGTAACAATCTTTAAAAAAATCCCTACACGCCCTAGGTTATAACGTTCATAACTGCAGGTTAATTATGATACATTGAAAAGTGATGTAATGTAGCCTACATTCAGTCATTATCGCAAAAAATTCACACAGCTATGAATAATAATTATAATAATAATATACACATGAAATATTGACTTGAGCTGAAATTAATTTATCTTACTTGTAAAGAAGAGACAATCAAAATCAAGTATTCCGAGTAATAAGAAAGTGCAGGAATTTGTAAAGCTCTAAACGCCCTAGTGGTTCCTGATGTGACTGCAGGGGTTTTGTGAGACTGTGTGATACATCGACAAAACAAATTATGTGATGTTCATTCAGCCCGTAGCTATTGCAAATATACACACCTGACGCAAAAGGTACATCAATCAATCAACAGGCTATTTGTATTGCCATGAACTACAATAATTGTTTTGAATAAATATTTTTATTAAATATTTAGACTTAAAACCTCAGATTGACCAATCAGTGGCCTATTCCATAGCCGTGTAATAAAAGTGTTTGAATGGAATGTAATATTAAACCAATAATGTAAAAAAAAAAAATAAGGCTTTGATTTTATTATTCATAATATTTATTGAGCGATAAGAAACCTGTTTTTAATTCCAGAGAGTGTTTAAAGCATATATTTTAGTGTCTCGGCAGACCGTAAAGGTTGGGAACCCCTGGTTTAAACGGATTAAGGGACAGTAGGGGGATAGATGAGACGCAGTTACTGGACATAGTCGGTGGTCCAGATTTTGATAAAGTAAGTCACATTGAGACAGCGGTGCCGCAGTCATCATGTCGTCGGTGAGGCTGGAAGGCGAATTGCTCGCGCGGGATGATTGGTGAGGTGTTCCACTGACCGCGCCCTCTTTTCGCGTCCATAACCGCTACGTTACCGGGAGAACGCGCATAGAGCGGCAGATCTGCTGTGGCGTTTCATGCAGGTTGAGCGGCTTGACGCGCTCACGCGGCCGTCGACTGTACGGCAGTGAAAGGGGAGGGCAAACGCAGCATTTCGCGTCTCTGGACTATACAAAAGACAAACGAACAATTTACAGTGAGAAGTGGGGATAAAGCGCGCTCACTTTCAGCCACAAACACAGGTAAGAGCACTTCTGTGTGTCTCTGCAGATGCTTTTGTCATCAGAATATGTTTTCAGGAATGCAGGTGATGCGCGGGGCTGGGGAAGTAAACGGATGGTGTTGACTCATAAGCGAAGATGTTGTTGTCTGTTCTGTGTTACTGTAAAGCCCTCGGAAGTGTGGCTTTTTATATGTCCCTCATTGGTAATGGTTTGAACACCTGCGTGCCAGCGTAGCGTTACTAACGGGCGCTGTGTGTATTGATTTGCCCCCTTTCGAGTCATGCCATGTGCGGCTCTCAGATGCACGAGAGAGAGAGCGAGAGAAATGGAAAAGCCGTGGGAATAAAACAGCCTTTTGTTTAGATAAGCGGCTGTTTTATCCTTCGGATGGGTTGTTGATAAAATGTTTGCTTTCGTTGATCGAATTTTCAGAGGGTATGTCCTTCTGACCTTTTAACCAACTTAACCAAGAACTGGCTACATGTAAACATATGGTCTGAATAAATTGTTTGGATGACTTGAATTGACAGCCGAGGCCTGTGAGAGTGTTTCTGGACATACTGTTTTGAGAAGATTCAGCCTCTTTTATGCATCGTCATTTACGAGTTCAGGGAGTCCAGTTCATCACATAATATTTTTATGGTGTAAGTCGCATTAAAATAGTTCGCAGGCAACTCAAATGTATGATGTCATTATTTACTCTCATGTTGTTCCAAACCCAAACGATTTTCTTCCTTTTGTTGAAAGCATATTTAGTGATTTCCGGGTCACTTTTGTCCATGTGATGACTGTGCATCGTGACTGAAAGATGTTAAGCTTAACAAATGGCTTGAAATTACCAAAAATTATCATGAAAATCATAAGAATCATGACTTCTGCAAATCATAAGTGCTTCACTGATGAACAAACTGAAATTTCAGTTGTTTTTAGTGATAATCCTTCCCAGTTGAACATGAGTAGCAGATCAGTCTGGTTTGTGAACACATCATTCAGGCTAGTTTTGTGAACTGGATCAACAGATTAATCTAGAAGATCAGACTCAAACAAATTATTTGTTCACAAATCATTGGAGAATGCTATTTATCTAAAAAGCACTTTATGTGGTAAATATTTCATACATTTCAAGTTAAATTTTGGTCTGTTCCTCACACAAGCAATCCTACTCCAGAAGACTTGAAATGTAGACTTGACTATTTTACAGTAACATGCATTAATTAATTGTAAAAATAGTGTTCTATTAGGTAACATTACTTAATGCATTAACTAACAATGAGCTATACATTTGTTACACCATTTATTATTTTTTGTTAATATTAGTTAATATAAATACAACTGTTCATCGTTAGTTCATGTTAGACCAGGTCCATTAAATATTAAGATGCAACTTTTTACTTTATTAATATATTAGCAATAACATATGTTAAAATTAACATTATAACCTAAGACTAATAAATGTTTTACAAGTATCTTTCATTGTTAGTTCATGTTAACAAATGCAATCTTATTGTAAAATATTGCTTATGATACTTATATTGTGATTGATTGACAGATTTATTTATTTATTGCATCTTTTTTGTCTTCTTTGACATGTTTCCAATTGTGTTACACTGCAAGAAATCTGTAAAGGTTTTGAACATGAGAGTGAGTATATGACAATCAAATTTACCTGCACTAATAGCCTCCTATTCATTGGTCAGCTTTAATGGATGTCAGCAGCACTACTAGGGTTGCAAAGGGGTGGAAAATTTCCGGAACTTTTCCAAAAATCCCTGGAATATTAACGGGCGCTGTGTGTATTGATTTGCCCCCTTTCGAGTCATGCCATGTGCGGCTCTCAGATGCACGAGAGAGAGAGCGAGAGAAATGGAAAAGCCGTGGGAATAAAACAGCCTTTTGTTTAGATAAGCGGCTGTTTTATCCTTCGGATGGGTTGTTGATAAAATGTTTGCTTTCGTTGATCGAATTTTCAGAGGGTATGTCCTTCTGACCTTTTAACCAACTTAACCAAGAACTGGCTACATGTAAACATATGGTCTGAATAAATTGTTTGGATGACTTGAATTGACAGCCGAGGCCTGTGAGAGTGTTTCTGGACATACTGTTTTGAGAAGATTCAGCCTCTTTTATGCATCGTCATTTACGAGTTCAGGGAGTCCAGTTCATCACATAATATTTTTATGGTGTAAGTCGCATTAAAATAGTTCGCAGGCAACTCAAATGTATGATGTCATTATTTACTCTCATGTTGTTCCAAACCCAAACGATTTTCTTCCTTTTGTTGAAAGCATATTTAGTGATTTCCTGGTCACTTTTGTCCATGTGATGACTGTGCATCGTGACTGAAAGATATTAAGCTTAACAAATGGCTTGAAATTACCAAAAATTATCATGAAAATCATAAGAATCATGACTTCTGCAAATCATAAGTGCTTCACTGATGAACAAACTGAAATTTCAGTTGTTTTTAGTGATAATCCTTCCCAGTTGAACATGAGTAGCAGATCAGTCTGGTTTGTGAACACATCATTCAGGCTAGTTTTGTGAACTGGATCAACAGATTAATCTAGAAGATCAGACTCAAACAAATTATTTGTTCACAAATCATTGGAGAATGCTATTTATCTAAAAAGCACTTTATGTGGTAAATATTTCATACATTTCAAGTTAAATTTTGGTCTGTTCCTCACACAAGCAATCCTACTCCAGAAGACTTGAAATGTAGACTTGACTATTTTACAGTAACATGCATTAATTAATTGTAAAAATAGTGTTCTATTAGGTAACATTACTTAATGCATTAACTAACAATGAGCTATACATTTGTTACACCATTTATTATTTTTTGTTAATATTAGTTAATATAAATACAACTGTTCATCGTTAGTTCATGTTAGACCAGGTCCATTAAATATTAAGATGCAACTTTTTACTTTATTAATATATTAGCAATAACATATGTTAAAATTAACATTATAACCTAAGACTAATAAATGTTTTACAAGTATCTTTCATTGTTAGTTCATGTTAACAAATGCAATCTTATTGTAAAATATTGCTTATGATACTTATATTGTGATTGATTGACAGATTTATTTATTTATTGCATCTTTTTTGTCTTCTTTGACATGTTTCCAATTGTGTTACACTGCAAGAAATCTGTAAAGGTTTTGAACATGAGAGTGAGTATATGACAATCAAATTTACCTGCACTAATAGCCTCCTATTCATTGGTCAGCTTTAATGGATGTCAGCAGCACTACTAGGGTTGCAAAGGGGTGGAAAATTTCCGGAAATTTTCCAAAAATCCCTGGAATATTTAAAAAAAAATCCTGGAAAGTTTCCAAAATTTACTGGAAATTTTCCACCTTTTTGCAAGCCTAGTCAGCACATCTAAAGAATGAAGCCACCAAAACACTATGTTTTAATCCTTTTTGTATCACCCTCTTGAACATCTGTTGTCTTTTTCTGCCGTTGCCATGTTGCAACCCTCTATTAGCTCTATCACCAGCTGTTCTGTGGCAGGGCAGCCAGGGCTGAAGAACTGAGGATAACTCGATTGTGAGCTGGTGTCAGATAAATCTTTCTGGGCTCTGGTGTGTGAAAATCCAGTAGCACTAGCTGTGGATGACAATACATCATGGATGTAATTAAATTCACTGTTTATTATTAGTATATGATTAACACCACTAATTGCGAGTCCCTTGCGTAGTAACTGCTTAGGTGATTCAGTCAAATTGAGCCTTGATAAATGTAGGCTATATTCAGACTTATGAGACACCCTCTAGACAAACTCCAGTTCTTAGGTTGATCAAATCGACAGGACTGCTGTTATTGAAAGGCCTGAGCAATCAATATCACCATAATAGTTGCTGTCTGTCAGCATGATAGGTAAGTTCGACAGTTGTATGCAACCATTTATGAGGCTATAAAAATGTGGACACAAAGATGCAGATGGTTTTGCTCTGTGCATGAAGACCATTAAATGATTCCTAGCCATGGGGATATGGGTCAGTAATGGAAAACACTGCTTTGAACATGTTAGCCGGTCTGTGCCATTTCCAGCTTTGTACCTATAAACCATGAAAGTTTCATGAGCATTTTTAAAACCGTGCTATAATAATAAGAAAAAAAATCAAATGCCTTCTGTTTTCAAGCACCATTGATTATTCATTCAGCTATGCAGCAGCAAGGATGTCAAAACAACATCACTGCCCATCACCAGGAGCTTGACCTAGCTTTCCTTCCAGGTAGCAGTAGGAGAAAAGAGGGGATTTTACTAAGGGGATGCCCACTGCCAGAATGCACATCTGGGTTTTGCATGGCTCATCTTATTCATCCATAGCTGGAACACGGTATGTCACCCCGTTGCACTGATTCGAAATCAGTTTCGCAGTTGCTGTCATGGTTGCGGTTTGGATTTGGCCAGGCGAGGCAGGTCCCACTTCAGGAGAATGAGAGGAGAGCAGAAGGGGGGACCAGCATTATCAATAGCCTCCTATGAGTGTTAGGCCTGGAACTAAATCTCATCTCACCAGCTGATAAGGAGTATCTCTGGCCGTCATTGGGCTCAGAGATACCGAGAAAGGAGGGGGAGGAAGGAAAGCTGGTGGCTTTCCTGATGGACAGGTGGTGTTCCTTTCTTTTTTTTTTGCTCCCCTGTCTGTACACACAAAGGTTGACTGGCTGGTTTGTGAGCGTGCTGTTTTTTTTATTTTTATTCTTCGTCCTTCTGTGCTGTCCTTTGGCGTCTGTGTATGAGGAACCGTTTTGAAAGGAATGCCACAGTTAGTCGTGTTATGATAGAATTTTGCCTGGTGCAGCTCGCACAGTGACCCAGTGTTGGGTAACTGACAAGTTGTCAGATTGTTTGCATGCTGCTTAATTAATTACTTTTTAAAGCATTTTGCAATTAGCATGATGATAGTTCAAAACAAAAGGAAAACATGCAGTATGATACATTAGGACTGCATAATTTTTAATTGAGATTACTATTACGGCTGCCGAGGTGAAGTGTCAAT